ACCCTCGCGCACACACTCACGACTCGCAACGCCACCTACCCTCGCGCATGCACTCACGACTCGCAACGCCACCTACCCTCGCACACACACTCACGACTCGCAACGCCACCTACCCTCGCGCACACACTCACGACTCGCAACGCCACCTACCCTCGCGCATGCACTCACGACTCGCAACGCCACCTACCCTCGCGCGCACACTCACGACTTGCAGCGCCACCTACCCTCGCGCGCACACTCACGACTCGCAGCGCCACCTACCCTCGCACGCACTCACGACTCGCAGCGCCACCTACCCTCGCTCGCGCGTCCACGTTGGCGCCGTTGCGCAGCAGGATGCGTATGATGTCGGTCTGGTTGGCGCGCGCCGCCAGGTGGAGTGCCGTCTCGCCGCGCATTGTCGGCGTGTCCGGGGAGCTGCCGCGCTGGATCAGGTAGATGACGATGTTCATGCATCCCATGAAGGAAGCCACGTGCAGCGGCGTCAGTCCAGACTGCAGGAGAGAGAGAGACGCGCGTAAGATAGAGAGGGGAGAGGGGGAGAAGGGGATGGACAGGTAATACGATGTTTCATGAGCATCCCATGAAGAAGCCACGTGTAGCGGCGTCAGTCGCAGGACTGCAGGAAGAGAGAGAGAGACGCGCGAAGATAGAAGAGGGAGAGGGAGTGAGAGGGGAGCACAAAAGGGCGAGGAGAGCGACCAAGGGAACGACGGCGGAGGATCAGGTAGACTGACATGCTATACGCATCCGCATGTAAGAAGCCACGTGCAGCGGCGATCAGTCCCAGACACTGGTGGGCAGGAGAGAGAAGAGAGAAGACGCGAAATAGAGAGGGGGAGGCGGGAGGGGAGAGAGGGGAGAGGGGGACAAAGGCGGAGAGGGGGAGAGGAGGATCCAGGTAAGACGAAGTTCATCAGCATCCCATGAAGGAAAGCCACGTGTAGCAGGGCGCATCCAGACGCAGCGTAGAGAGAGCAGACGCGCTAAGACTAGAGAGGCGGGAGAGGCGGAGAGGGGGAGAGGGAGAGGGGAGAGATGCAGGTAATCAACAGGTTCACGCATCCCATGAAGGAGCCAAAGTGCTAGGCGGCGCTCATGCCCAGACTGGCAGAGAAGAGAGAGAGACCGGCGCGTCAACGATAGGGAGAGGGGGAGAGGGGGAGAGGGGGGAAAGGGGGAGAAGGGGGAGGGATCAGGTAGAGACGCAGTTCATCCCGCATCCCAGTGAAGGAAGCCACGGGCAGCGCGCGTCAGTCCAGACGCATGGAAGAGCAGAGAAGAACCCGCGCTGTAAAGATAGCACGACGGGAGACCAGGAGAACAAGGGGGCACGAGAGGGAGAGGCATCCAGGTACATGACGATGGTTCATCCGCATCTCATTGAAGGCAAGCACGTGCAAGCCACCGGCGTCAGTCCAGACTGCAGGAGAAGAGAGAGAACGCCGTAGATACAGAGGGGGAGAGCGGGAGTAGGGGCGAGCAGGGGGAGGATCAGGTAGAGTGACAGATGTTTCATGCATCCCATCTAAGGAAGCCACATGCCAGCGCGACGTTCAGTACCAGCGCGCAGGAGAGAGAGAGAAGACGCCGCGTAATATAGAGAAGGGGACAGGGGAGAGGGGAGAGAGGGGAAGGGGGAGAGGGGGAGGTATCAGGTAAGATACGCGATGTTCATCCGCATCCCTGAAGGAAACCACCGTGCCACGCGCGTCAGTTCCAGACTGCAGGAGAAGAAGAGAGACGCGCGTAAGATAGAGAGGGAGAAGGAGAGGAGAGAGGGAGAGGGGAGGATCAGGTTACATGACGATTCATGCATCCCCATGAAGGAACGCCACATGCACGGCGCGTCAGTCCAGACTGCAGGAGAGAGAAGAGAGCGGCGCGTACAAGATAGAGAGGCGGCGAGTAGGGGGAGAGGGGGAGAGGGGAGGATGGGGGGAGAGGGGGGGATTCCAGGTAGATGACAGAGTTCACGGCATCCCATGAAAGAAGCCCACGTGCAGCGGCGTCAGTCGAGACTGCAGGAAGAGAAGAGAGAGACGCGCGTAATAGAGCAGGGGGAAGCCGAGGGGAGAGGGGAAAGGGGAGGGATCAGGTAGATACGATGCTTCATGGCATGCCCATGAAAGAAGCACACGTGCAAGCGGCGTCAGTGGGCGTCCAGACTGCAGGAGAGAGAGAGACGGACAGGCGCGTAAAGAAGAGAGGGGAGCACAGAGAGCGGGGAAGGCCAGGGGCGGGGAAGAAGGGGAGAAGGGAGAAGATCCAGTAGATGACGATGTTCATCGCAATCCCATAAGGAAGCCACTTTGTAGCGGCGTCAGTCGCAGACACGCAGGAGAAGAGAGAGACGCGCGGATCAGAAGAGAGAGGGGGGAGAGGCGGGAGAGGGGAGAGGGGGAGAGGGGAAAGGATCAAGTAATGACGATGTTCAGCATGTGCCCACTGAACGAAACGAAACACGCTGCAGCGCGTTCAAATGCGAAACCCAAGACGGCAGGAGAGGAGAGACGAGACGCGCTAAAGATAACGAGAGGGAGCCGACAAGGCGCGGAGAGGGGGACGAGGGGAGAGGGCGGAGAGGCGGGAGAGACTCAGGTAGATTGACGATGATCATGGCTCCCATGAACGGCAAGCCACGTGTAAGCGGCGGCGTCAGTCAGGCACTGCAGGAAGAGAGAAGACCGCCGTCAAGATAGAGAGGGTGAAACGGAGGGCGAGCCCCGGAGAGGCGGAGGGATCAGGTAGATGACATCCGTTCATCGCATCCATGAAGAACCACGGCAGCGGTCGTCCAGTCCAGACTGCAGGAGAAGAAGAGAGACGCGCGTAAGATAGAGAGCGCCGGGCACGAGGGGCGCGAAGAGGGGAGCCAAGGGGAGAGGGGAGAGGGGAGGGATCAGGTAGTAATTGACGATGTTCATCTTAGCATCGCCAATGAAGACAGGCCACGTGTAGCGCGCGTCCAGTCAGACCTGCAGGAACGAGAAGAGAGACGACGTTTGCGTCTTTAGAGTTAATAGACGATCGGGTGAAGTAGTGAGTAGGATGTGGAGAGGAAGTATGGGCGGAGTAGGAGGTAGGGATCAGGTAGATGGAGCTGATGTTCGATTGTCCAGCATTTACGGCATGCCCATTTAAGGAAGCCATCATCGCAGTCGGCGGTCTAGTTCCGCATGTAACTGCGTGAGAGATGAGGAGAGTATCTGCGCCGTAAATATTGAGAGGTGGGAGTATAGGTAGGGATGAGGGGAAGGCCGGGAGTTCAGGCGGGAGTGGATTTCATGGGTAGATGACCGTTATTGTCGATCGTCATCGCATTCCCCATTTAAGGAAGCCACGTTGGCTAGCGGACGTCAGTTCCAGGACTGCAGAGAGAGAGAGTAGACTGCCGTCGTTAAAGTATAGAGAGGGGGCGGATAGGCTGGAGAGGGGGGAGTGTAGGGGCGAGATTTTTGACTGGAGGAAGTTAGGGGGGAGGACGTGGATTAATGGGGAGTTTATAACTTCTTTTGATTGTCTTTTAGGGGGAGGGATTCAGGTAGTACTGACTTGATGTTCATGTGCATCCATGAATTGTCGCAAGCCACGTGTTAGCGGCGTTCAGCCTTATGGCGACTGGTCAGTGAAGAGAGGCAGAGAGAGACTGGTCTGCGTAAGATAGAAGTTGGAGAGGGGGATGACGGCTGGGAGAGGGATGAGTAGGTGGCATCTGATGCGGAGATGGTCGGAGGCTGGGAGAAGATGGCGGGAATGTGTTGATCAAGTATCGATGATGATGGATTCATTTTGCACTTCCATGGAAGTGATTATCCACGTGTAGGTCTGGCGCTCAGGTCCGAGAACTCCTGCCATGGAGTAGAGGACGAGAGAGGATTCGCTCGCGTTTAAGAATAATCCCCGAACGTTAGGTGGGAGCTAGGCGGGAGAACGTAGGGGGAGTAGGTTAGTGGATGGGGGAGTGGTATTCAAGTGTAGATGACGAGTGCTTCAGGCTCTCGTCTATCCCCATGAAGTTAAGCCACATGGTCATGCGGTCGTTCATGTCCAGACTTTGCCCATGGAGAATGAGAAGGAGTAGATCAGCGCTTGTAAGATAGATGAGGGAGCCATAGGGGGAGTCCTCTAGGTGGGAGTACGGGGATGATGTGGGGAAGATCAGGTAGATGACGATTGTTTTCGATGCATCCTCATTGAATAGGAAGCCAGTGTTACGGCGTCAGTTCCTAAGATTTCTGCAGAGTAGATGATGTAGTAGACGCGCCGTCTAAGATAGAGAGGGGTGATGAGTGCTATCAGGGCGAAGGAAGGGATGTCACGGGGAGTATATGGGTGAGAGGATTTCATGTATGAATGTTGTACTGATTGCTTTCTTATCTCCGCATTGTCCTTCTCATCTTTCCCTCGCTTCTCCCGGTCACTTCCCATGAAGGAAGGCCACGCTGCAGCGGCGTCAAGTCCAGACTGCGGAAGAGAGAGCTACGCGCGTAAGATAGAGAAGGGGAGAGGGGAAGAGGGGAAGCAGGGGGAGAGTGGGGAGGGGGAGAGGGGAGAGGGGGCACCGCAGGGGGGAGGAATAAAAGTAGATGACGATTTCATCCGCATCCCATCGAAGGAGAGCCACGCTGTACGGCTCAGTCCAGACTGCAGGCCAGAGAAGAGAACCGCGTAAGAAAGAGATGGGGGAAGCCGAGGGAGAGAGGGGAAGAGGGGGAGAGGGAGGAGGGAGAGGGGGAAGGGGGAGCCACGGGGAGGGATCAGGTAGATGACGATGTTGCATCCCGGCGGCAGTCCCCATGAAGCGAAGCCCCACGTGCGCAGCGGCCTTCAGTCCAGATAGACTGCAGGAGAGGAGAAGGAAGCAGAGACGCGTAACATAGACGCAGGGAGGAGAGGAGGGAGAACGGGGGCAAGGGATCAGGTAGAGGCACGATGTTCACCGCCAGTCCCATCACAGAAGGCCACGTGGTAGGCGTCGTCAGTCCAGACTGCAGGAAAGAAGAGAGAGAGACGACGCGCCGACAAGATAGAGAGGGGGAGAGGGGATGTCCAGGCGGGAGAGGGCCGAGCAGGAAGGGGCGAGAGGGGAAGACGTGTAACTGACGATGTTGCTATGCCATCCCCATGAAGGAACGCACACGTGGTAGCGGCGTCAGTCACATGACTCGCAGGAGAGAGAGAGAGACCACGCACCCGCGCTAGAGAGATAGAAGGGGGAGAAGGGGAGAGGCGGCGGCCAGGGAATCAGTAAGATGACGATTCCATCGCGATCCCGAATGAAGGAAGCCACGTGCAGCGCGTCATCCAGACTGCAGGAGAAGAGAGGACGCGCGGTAGACTAGAGAGGGGGAGACCTAGGGGAGAGGGCAGGGAAGAAGGGGGACGGGGAGAAGGGGAGGATCAGGTAGAGACGATGTTCATCGCATCGCCATGAAGGAAGCCACGTTAGGCGGGCCCGTCAGTCCAGACTGCCAGCACAGAGAGAGAGGAG